TGATCTATCACTATAGATTAGTGATACTAATATATCGCTAATCTATATATCTAATCTATCACTAATATGATAGATTAGATGTATAGATTAGTGATATATTAGTGATACTATAGATTAGTGATATATATTTTCTAATGATTTCTTGACTGGGTGGGCACATGACTGCGTGAATGAGCGAATACTATTGAAAGTGAGTAGGCTGGTGAACGGAGGGGTTTTGTGTTTCACCCGATTTTTGCCTGTGGGCCACCATCTCCGTGTCCTGGACAAGGGCTGGAAACGGGTGAGACCGGTCACAACCAGACCATCCCCACATTACTGGGGCATAGTCCTCTTGTGAGCAGGTTTACATACAACCATTATTGTCGTTCCTGTAATGTTCTTTTTTTCCAACCTTTGCTGGACGCATTTACCCGCTTGGGAGTCTTGCCACATTTACCTCAAAGAAAATCGTGCATTTCTGAGGTTTCCTCGGTCACCTTGGAGCCGTCACAAGTCTGCTTCCAGAACTTGTACTCGCCTAATTGTAATCGCTTAGTTGTGTTTACAGGTTGTTGTTGTTATAGATTCAGCTACTCGGAAAAAGTTCCAAGTAGCACGGGCTATGGTGAGCCCGTGCTTACTTGCCCTTGGTCAGCCCGTAACTTGTCTGTCACAGGAGCGGGGCAAGTAGCACGGCAAGTAGCCATAGCCCGTGCTACTTGCCCCGCTCCTGTGCCAGACAAGTTACGGGCTGACCAAGGGCAAGTAAGCACGGGCTATGGTGAGCCCGAAGTGGACTTGCCTGGCACAGGAGCGACCTATGCTTGCAGGGTCGAGCGTCTGCTCTTAAGCCCCGACTTTCGACCATCATTAGTTTAATGCACCCGACTCTCTCACTGTTTGTCTTACATTTATAGTCGTGTATGAAATTGGCCTCTACAACTTCGTCATCTGGTCTGTTCAACTCATTTGCTACTCGTAGACTGGAACGAGTTCTTCTTGACGTTCCTGTGACTCGTCTTGTGTTTCTAATCATATTCTCTCGTTGTAACCCCCTGATATAAAGGATGTACACAGCAGTCGGAAGGGATCTTTGTCCAGGTTGGTGAAAGATAACCAGACGTTTGGCAGTATGACATATGCTGCCCTTGTTATCCTGCTGATGTGTGCCTCTGGTCTTTGGTGTGGATATAACTCGAGATCTAAGTCCCTCTTTTTTTTTCAGAAGTTGAAAGTTGCCTTCCCTTCATCCTGTACTGTGTTTAAGGTGTTCTTGTGCCAACTCCTATCATCATAATGATAGGAGTTGTCAGTTAAAGTCTAGTAGCCATTTCTCAGACAGTCACTGAAGGCTGTTTAGTTCAGATTCGCCTCATTAGTTTTGTATCGTCAGCGAACATGGGTAAGAAGGGGAATGGAATTATCAGGAGAAAGCGCCAAGGCCATCACGACTATATATCACTTAAGAGTCAGAATAAATTTTGTTAGGAGGAAGGGGGGGGGGTGGGAGAAAGGAGAAGGAAGCATGGTGCCCAACCACTTGGACGGTCGGGGATTGAACGTCGACCTGCATGAAGCGAATTCAAAGATAAGAATAGATTCGTAGATAAGAATGAGCTTACTTCCTCAGTTAGATAGATTACATATATTAGGAACAGGCTGGGTTCCCAGCATTGTAAATGCACATTAATGACACTATGTAAAAGACACATCGAACACTTTGTAGGGCATACGTAAATCTGTGTATGTATTTACGTATGTAGGTTAGCTTAGCATTTTAAAAGCGCCAAATCACCTTCTGTGGTTGATTGTTCAATAAACCCTTGAACTGTATGTTTAACACATCTCTAACCCTGTCCATGGAGGACAGAAGAAAATGTATATATGCTGGTTAGCATTGTAAATGTGTGGCCACGTCTGTGGTAGAAAGAAGAAAGAAAGAAAGAAAAAAAAAAAACGAACATTGAGGTACTCCACTCGTTACCTGCTCTCCATTCTGAAATGTATACTCTTACTGACACTTTACTTCCTGAAAGTTAATCCTTTACCCACTGAGTTATTTTCCCAATACAAAATCTCGTTTTTCGAGTTTGCATAAGAGTCGCTTGTGAGGAAGCGTGTCGAAAGCTTCCTGCCATTCCAAGAAAATGCAGTCTACCTAGCGCCGTCCATCCTGTTTAATTATTGTGATCTTGCCATAGAAGTCTTAAGTTGATCAAGCAAAATTGTCCTTTGGAGAACCCATGCTGAAGCTTGGACACGAAATATGTTTTAAATGATCAACACGCCTTCTTCTGATTACTCTCTCTAGTATCTTGAAGAATGCTTGTTAGTGATGTCGGTCTATAGATCAGTCGCTACTGTCCCTCCCCCCCCCCTTTGTCTTGTATAGAGGCGCCACATTTACCACGTTCAAAATGCCAAACTTCCCGTATATAGTGAGGCGTTGAAGTCTTCAGCAGGAGGCACACACTGCGTCCGAGACGGGACCAAAGAGCTAGAGCTCAACCCCCGCAAGCACAACTAGGCGAGTATTGATTGATTGATGAAGATTAAGCCACCCAAGAGGAGGCACGGGAATGAATAGCCCGTAAGTGGTGGCCCTTTTGAGCCATTACCAGTATCAAGAGCTGATACTGGAGATCTGTGGAGGCTAGGCGAGTACTGCAGCTGCCTCTTTTAGGACCGGTGGCGAGATGATGTCGGGCGCCTGCGGCTTTCTTCACATCCCGCTCCCCTTAATCGTCACTTCTATTTCGTTCAGAGGAAATAGAGAAACGCCAGTGCAGGCGATGAGTCACAATAACGTGGCTAAAGTATGTTGACCAGACCACACACTAGGTCAAGGGACGACGACGTTTCGGTCCGTCCTGGACCATTCTCATGTCGATTGTCACTTGAGAACTGGAGAAACATCAGTCTTTCTCCTGGCCTCACATGTTCCGTTAAGAAGTCGTAGACCTGGAGCCAGTTGTTGATCAATCTTGACTTCCAGGAAGTCGTTATCGAGTTTCCTCGCGTACTCTGGTGTGAGTACTTGAGTGCTAAACAGTACATATAATTAACATAAAGACGTTTCAGCTTTGCAATTTGCATGTCCGACAAGTGTTTACAAATGAATTCAAGGAACAGCAGATCATTGGATCCGAACAAGGATGTTCATTCTAAGCTTATGGTGATAAAAGGTAATATTTGGATTTGTAAAAGAAGTACTTGTCAATTCTGTTTTTGAATGTATAAAAGATATAATAAGGCGAGATATTCTATACATTTGCTGTCCGGTTAATTAAGTGTATCAGGTTTGTCACTGTAATGGAACGAAGACGGTTTGCCATTAGTTTTAATTCCATTAATTCGAGTGATGATGGAGAAACATTAAAGTATAATTCCTTGTGAATATTTTCGTTTTGATGAGGATAATGAGGCGATTTAATACATTTAATATTATTTCTACTGATGAGTACCCTTGGTAGCACCCCTAGCGTGGGGCGGGCCGTGGGTATATATAAGTGTGTGTGTGTGTGTGTGTGGGGGGGGGGGGGGCTGGTGGCGGTCTCGGATCGAAACCTCGAAAAATCTCGAGAGAAACCTGACAAGCTGTTGGCACCATTTGCGTGCTGATTTTGCGACCATTATAGGGAACACACACATCTTAACCTTGGCCAGGATTCATGAAGCATTTACGTGTCCACATACGGAACCTGTACATCTTTCCTCGGTTATGACAGTTTAGTTTCGGTCATTTAGCGCCTTGGAGCTCAAATAATTTAGTTGTTTATAATAACCTTGGGTTATGTTTCGAAGCTCTTAAACTCTTTAATAAATGTAAACGTAACTGCCATGATTGAATAAAGATGTACATGTTTCGCAAGTAGATGTGTAAATGCTTGATGAACAGTGGCTCAGAGACACAAATTTAGAAAGTTACGAGGGACGCAAGTTAGTAACTTGACTCTCCTCTGGGAACAATGGACCAGATATCGCACGTTTGAGGGAAATATTAAGGCCCACAAGATGGGATCGAACCCGCGTCCCTGGTGTCCCTCGGGATACGTCCAAGGACGCGGGTTCAGTCTCATGGTATGACCTTCATATCTTTTTATAGCTCGATTACCTTCTTATGTCATTGTGCGAACTGTGAGTTTAACACGTCTTAATGGTGGACAATTGTTCTCAGATTGGCTCAATGTTACTTTTTTAAGTGATAATTTGTTCTATACTGAGTTACGTGTGAAAGTCTCGAGAAAAAGTTCATGTATAATATAGTAATGAGGCCGCTGCTCATTATGCACTAGGAAGTACCTTCCGTTGAAGGTTGGGGAAAGTTAGCCCAACATTTCAAAGAAAACCACAACGCGGTTATGACATTCTAACCGCTCACATGCCGGATTTGGCGGCAAAACGTCAACACGCGTCATATTTACACGTGCAACAATATATTGCTGTTATGACAACATATTTACGTTGCTACAAGTGGAGTGCTCCAGAGCTCTGGCTCAGGATTGAAAAGAATCATTAAGCACATTTTTCCGATGTTAGAGAAGGGGTTGGGGTGATGCCAGGTGTGGGGGAGGGGGGTAATACCAGGTGTGGGCACAGTGCTGGTGTGGGTGAAAAAAGTGGCTACATGAAGACCTGGAGAGACTGTAAAAAAAATTTATCAGCATTTGGTTAATTTTTTTTACTCTAGAACCAATGCAACATAAAAAAAAGAACCATCGTTAAAGTATCAGACTCATGCCGCCTGAATATGTAGAATTTCTCCTTTTTTCAATTTCCTTCACTTTAGACATTGATCTATAAAAGTCTGTCGTTCACGCTAGTTTGCAAATTAAAAAGATTACAAATGACATATTGTAACTTGCTTTCCAGAATGGCAATTCACTGCCATAGACCTTTTATAGGACCCAGATTTTGGTATCTTGTGACTAATGTCAGATCTACAGGACCATCATCTTGGCGCAAAATCCGCATCTTATCATTTATTTCTAAAAATTAACACTGCTTATGTTTTGCAGGTGTGGTCGAGGGCTCTCAGAAGATGCTAATGGTGGCCAACGGCAGCGGTTCTCTTCACCAGTCTGCCATGTCGTCATCACAGAGCTACATAACCAACACCATGTGTAAAGTCCAGACCTACAAGTCTGCCAGCGTGGTGCTGGAAGAGTCTACGACGAGACCCGGTCCCGTACCAGCGAGCGAGGCGCCGGGTCCCGCCCCCACCACCGCCGACTACACACTGACGGGACGCTGGGTGCGCAGGCTTGGGTACGCTGAGAGGTTCATGACGCATGCGCACGACTACGGCTGCATGACCACCGTCTACTCCCTGTGGCTCGAGTCCCGCATGCCGCTGGATTTTGAGCTCATCAAGCAGGCCTCTGTCTTGATGTTCAGGTAATTTGACCTGTTTAAGGGGTCCGGTGTCAGTATGATTGACAGTATGGCTGAGGGACACGGTACAGTGTACCTGCCTAACGGGGCTGCTGGATGTGGGAGTGAGTCGTCCCCCCCCCCCCTGCCATCACTTAGACCTGTCTGATGCAACACTTTCCTCTTCCATCTTGTCCTATTTCCCTGTAGGGTTCTGGGAGTACAGTTGGGTTTGTTCTTGACTCGCAATCAAGAATACCGGGTTCGAATCCCGGTATTCGACAGAAATGCTGTTCACCTAGCATTTATTTAAGGCATAGTTACCCAGGAGTTAAGCGAACTACTGACCCATAAAAGCCTTACACGTGTACTGTATGTACATAATTTATTATTATTAATTATCTCTAGGTTCTAGAAGTTTATAGTTTCTAGGGAAAGACGGGGAGGGGAATTGCCAGGGAAAAGCGCCAAGCCACCATGATTATATAGCACTAGGAAGGGGTCAGGATAAGGAATTGGGATGGGTCGGGGGAAAGGAATGGTGCCCAACCATTTGGACGGTCAGGGATTGAACGCAGACTTGCATCAGGAGACCGTCGCTCTACCGTCCACCCCAAGTGGTTGGGGAGATACAGCTATCCATCCTCAAACCAAGTCCATTCCATGCAACGGTCGACTCCAAAGACGTATTCAGAAATTTTAACATGTTGTTCATTCAAAACAGGAATTTTCTGAAATAGAACCTAATTATTATTATATATTGGTATACTGTGCATATTTAGGCATTGGTTCGGTGTTATAAATTCTCAGCAAGTTGTGATTTCAAATTGTGAAAAAGATCAAAGAACGTAAAAAAACAGTTAAATAGAATAAATTTAGACTAAGAATAGGTTCAATTTACCTGAGGGCCACATTATCTAGTGGCCTCGACGGGGACTGGAAGCCGGCGGGTTACGAAAGGTCCCTCTATTGTTCCTGGGGATTTTTTTAACAACGGAATTTTGAACTGAAGTATTGTCTTGGCAGTGACACGTGTGTACGTGGGGCTGCGGAGGTGTAGAACAAGTTGTCAAGGTGTCGTGGGAGAAGTAAACTTTGTGGAAAGTTTGCCAAAGTTAGGTTTGGTAAGTAGGAGAGAGCGAGGTTGTGGTGTCGGGGAACTCCCGCCAATAACATTGTTGTTCTCTAGCCCCAATGTTTGTTAAATTGTATTCAGCGTTTTTTTTCATATTAAAGTATCAATTAAAAATAGTTATTTCGTAGGGGGGACAAACAGACTGTGTATATGTCAGGCTTATAGCAAGGTCTTCCCTCCCCCCCCCCCCCCTCGAACACTTGGGTTGGACGGTAGAGCGACGGTCTAGCTTCATGCAGGTCGGCGTTCAATCCCCGACCGTCCACAAGTGATTGGGGTACCATTCCTCCCCCCCCTTCCGTCCCATCCCAAATCCTTATCCTGACCCCTACCATGTGCTATATAGTCGTAATGGCTTGGTGCTTTCTCTTGATAGTTACCCCCCCCCTCCCAAAGGTCGGCCTGCTGCCCCTCCCACAGGATCCAACCCCACAAGATCCAACCCCACAAGAAGCAGACTTCCTGGGTATGTTTACTGCCAGGTGAACAGAGGTGGGAAAAAAACGTGCCCAACCGTAATTACAGGTATAGTTTTTGTCTTCGCACATTATTATGACGGCTATTGACAAACTGCTTGCAACTGCAACTTTCATGAATTACAATATATTATACATTGAAGCCAAGTCATTTTGATAATTGTCAATATTGGATTTTATAGAACAATAAAAGTTGTGTGATTTTTATTTGATGCAGAATACGCTTTCATCATATATTTCTGTATCAGACGCGAGATGTGGATGCCGGGCAAGAGTTTCTGATATTTAATTATTCAGAGTTAAATGTCTTTCCGTTTCATAATCTTTCGGTATATCTCGGGAATTTTCATGGTATAAAGCGTAATGGAGTGGGTGTCCCTGGAATTTCCCCCCCCCCCGCCCCACACACACACACACAGCCCCCCCCCCCGCCCCCCACACACACAGCCCCCCCCCCTATCCTGTGTTCCTTCTCATTCCTGCTTTTTGTGGACTGACAAATTGATCATGTCTTACCGAGCTCTCCTATCTTCCAGCGACGTTAGTTTCATTTCATGCAGCCTTTCCTCAAACCTCATACCTCTTAGTTCTGGGACTAGCCTAGTGGCATACCTTTGAATCTTTAACAGCTTAGTCCTGTGCTTGACAAGGTACGGGCTCCATGCTGGGGCCGCATACTCCAGGATTGGTCTTGCATATATGTGGTATACAAGGTTCTAAATGATTCCTTGCACAGGTTCCTGAAGGCTGTTCTGATGTTAGCCAGCCTCGCATACGCCGCCGATGTTATTCCTTTGAATGTGGGCTTCAGGAGACAGGTTTGGTGTGATATCAAGTAGATCTTTCTCAGTCCGTTTCATGGAGAACTTCATCTTCCATTCTGTATCCTGTGTCTGGCCTCCTGTTTCCACCGCCTAGTTTCATTACCTTACATTTGGTTGGGTTGAGCACAATGTGTGGGTGGGTGGTCTTCATGTATGTTTTAGTTAGTTTCAACGAAATGACAACTTCGTTGTGCAGTCTCCAGGCAATCTTCATGGTTCTTGGGTTATCAGTCTGGCATGAGGGGGAAATACTAAAATCTTCCGTTAATATAAGGTGATTTTTGTTTGTTGCTTACAGAGAAGTCAGTGACGTGATAAATCAATGAGAAAATCCACATATTAAAATCTGCTGACCATGTGGTGGCGTAGTCGTGTAATGTCTGGGAACACCCAGCCCATAGGTTCGAACCCTCGTCACGGCTCCTGTTGATTTTCTAATTCGTTGCTATTTAAATTGTCACGGGCTGCTGGCCTGGTCGAGGACCGGGCCGTGGGGACACTAAAGAGTTGCTTAAATTTGTGAGGTTAGTTCAATTCAGCCATGTCTATGTTTAGTGTCAGATCCTTTGATTATCCGGGGACAAATATTCTCCACAGGTGTCTTGTTCTGATTAGTTTGGGTGCATTTTTTATTCATGAATGACGGTAAATACCTCCACAACCTCTCTGGTTTGGGCCACAGGTATGGAGTGCTGGGTATGAGGCTGTGTCAAATAATTAAGCTAACTTTTAGCCGTGGTTTTTATTAATATTAACAAACATAATTTATAGTAGAGTGGTCGCAGTAAGCCACTAACGTTAGTGTTACATTCCATTCACCTAGTCTCTTTGGAGATACGAACCCTGGACACCTACACTTGAGGCCGAAGCTCTATCGACTGAGCTATTGAGTTTAAAAAAAGAAAGCTGTTTATTATGAGAGAGATTTTCACTTAATAGTGTTAGTTAGTTTACACATGTTACGTTTTGTTAATTACCGATATGTCGTAGGCGAGGTTTACCGCACAACGCATGCGGATATATTCGCTAAAGTGATGATTGTCATAAATAATAGTTCACAAGAGTTACCTCAGCGTCGGTGTGTGAGGCTTTCCGTCTGACTAGATTGTATACGTGGCTGTCTGGCTGTTTATATAGCTCGGTGTTGACATAGGGGGGGGTGCATGGGGGGGGGGGGATTGCATAAAACCCTGATTTGTCTCTGAGACAGCAGGATCCGTCGGTAAATCGGGATGATTTCCCGGTTGCAATTCTTTTTAACCATGTCGTAGCTCAGTCGATTAAGGCAGCGTGTGGGATCCTCAGTGGTGATCCAACTCGTCAACCAAAACAATTGAGGCAGGACAGTGTGTGTGGGGCGTCGGTCGATCACAGAGGGAGGCCAGCAGGACACACAGTAGGTGTGGCCTCGAGATGTCTCAGGCTTGGTAGTCCTCATGCCTAGCAAATGTGGCGTTTATCAGCATACAAAATGCTGCTCTTGGTTGGTTCCTCTGTATTGCTTTGGTCAAATGGTACATCGCATTTTTATACATACATATCCCCTAAGGGCAAAAATAGATGGACTAAAAATCACAGCGGCTCGCAAAATTGAGGTGGTCCCGTTTTCTATTCGTGGCTCCTCGGTTAGGTTAGGGTTCGGGGAATTTAGTACATCAGTTTTGTGACGTTGTAAACTCTGGAGAGGACAAGGTTCAGCGGGAGCAACAGACCGGCATAAAGGGCTGTTAGTACTCTACATTCATAAGTGCATATAATTGACCATTTACAAGTCTGGCATTTATGCCCAAGCTTCAGAACATTATGCAAGTCAGGCTAACACTGAGGGGTGCAACCCTCCCAAACAGAGGTCACGTAGTCCACTCACATACTTGTCTTACAAAGTATCTTATTTGTATAAATTTGAAGGCTGGCGGTGAAGCTCCTTCATGAAGGGCTCACCATAGCCCGTGCTACATGGACATTTTCGTCCTCGGTAGCTAAGTCTAAAACAGGTGTAGCTCCCAGTTTACCCCCACACAACAAACGCAATGCATAGACTTCCGCATGCGGTGGCACGCGTGACCAAGCTGTGCGCTCACACCCATGGCGGGGTGCGCAGTTCCTGGCAGTCACTGCTTGGGAGTTGCTCTCTGTCTATACAAACACTGTGGCGCCCAGCGTGGTGAAGCTCGGTACACACGAGATGGTAAACTCTTCCCGCCTCTAACTAAACTAACGCGCCAATCACGCGAGTTTCATTACTGCCCTCAGCAGCGGTACGCATTTTCTCAAAGATAAGGATAAGAGTCAATAAAAATTCCCTGGCGGATGACCTTGGTGTGAAATGGATATAGAAATTTCATGGAGCTGGTGGGAAAACTTCTCTACCGCCCGCAGGACGGGTAATGAAGTGTGTTAACAAAACAAAATCAGCCGAGACAAGCGTAGTGTCCTTGATCCGCCAGTACTCGACCCTACCGACCGCCAGTACCTCGCGTCCCTACCTACTTGTTTTGGTAGGGACGCGAGTCTTATTTTCCTCGGCGTCACCCCTTTTATATGAAAGGAACCGTCGGAAATGCATCCGAGGTGCCGTGTGGCCTAGATCCCTCCCCGGCGTTGCTCGGGTGATGGGCGACATCTTTACCACATCTTGATCACCAACCATCTTGATTACACACGATCACTTCATAACTTCCCTCGCCTGCGCCAGGATGAATCATGATGAGGATCAGAGTCTACTATTTAGCTAGATTGAAAATTGGTAATTTGTTTTGGTAGGGACGCGAGTCTTATTTTCCTCGGCGTCACCCCTTTTATATGAAAGCAACCGTCGGAAATGCATCCAGTGTGCCGAGCGGCCTAGATCCCTCCCCGGCGTTGCTCGGGTGATGAGGCGACATCTTTACCACATCTTGATCACCAACCATCTTGATTACACACGATCACCTTCATAACCTTCCCTCGCCTGCGCCAGGATGAATCATGATGAGGATCAGAGTCTACTATTTAGCTAGATTGAAAATTGGTATTGCTTGCTATTTCACGCAAGGGGCTGAGGAGGGTGGGGGGGGGGGGTCGACCCCGAACCTGAAATGACCAACTTTGAAGAACCCCAAGTCACTCTGTAAAAGTTTGGATATTGGATAGGCTTTGCCCCCCCCCCCCCCCCCGGTGTCCAATAGTTGTAGACGGGAGACCTACCCGAAATATGGAAGATGGCTAATGTATATCTATCTATCTTGAGGGGGGGGGAAGGAATGTCGGCAGTTTGACTTCATTTGGTTATTCTATCTGGTTGCGTTTGGTTTTGGTGTATGAAAGCTCACCCGGATGTTTTCTCACTTCTCAAAACGCCTAAATGTGTCCGCTCAATAAAACTAACTTAACTGGTCACGTGTCGTCAGTCTATTGTGGTTGTGTTAAAGCTTTGATTGTTAAATTGTTTTCAGATTGCTTTTGCGCTTTCCTGCTGTCAAGGATATGCAAGTATATACCTTACGTGCTCTGTTCTCTCTCCCCACCTGCCCGTGGTTCAGTAAAACAGTTTGTTGAACCACGGGCAGGTCATACCAATTTGATTTTAACAGCAATTATTCACATGAAGGATAATGGAATTTTCTAATATCCAGGTGTTGACACGTTGACAGGCATGCACTTCAACTCGAGGGGAAAAAGAGCCAAGTAAGGCTTACCCAAGGCTCTGGAAAGGGAAAATTCAATCTTATAACAAGAGCTGAACAGATAGTTTACTTCTGTACCTACCTGTATATATAAAAATTGTCTCCTTAAGCTACTGCTATTTAGCCGATGTGGTTCTGTTGCTGGATCAATTGCTCAAAATGGCTGCTTTCATCTGAATATTTTCTTTTCCACAGAAAAATGCCTAACCTGCGGTTACACTTGGACTACCTGGATGGCGACTTGTGGTGGCGCGAGATGACGAGGGAGGTGGTGGACGTGGAGGAGCTCTCCACACACGACGTGGAAGCTACCGTGCAGAACCTGGTGCGGCGCCGTTACAGAGTCCATGATGGACCTCTCTGGTTTACTCGATTTGTTACTCTCGACCCCAGTGAGGAGTGTGTGAGAGATAGCAATCACAATTTAAAATACAAGTATGTGTGCATTTTTGGCTTCCATCACAATATTAGTGACGGAAGCACGAATATGAAGTTCTGCCAGGTGTTCCTCAAAGTGCTCAATGCCCTGGTGGAGGGGAAACATGTTAACCTGTGCCAAGAAGGAACATTTTCAGTGCCTGTTCACGATGAGCTCGGCAAAAAGATTTCATCAATCTGGTTTGTGGCTGGAATCTTTTTACAGCGTTTCTACACCGTCGTCCTCACGTGGGGACTTCCATTGTGGAACTTTACACATTATTATAGAATGCCAATAAAGAGAGAAGCTGCGACGCATGTACTGCAGAATGAACTGGATGAAATCACCACTTCTAAACTACTAAGTCGATGTAAGATGGAAGGGGTGACGTTAAACTCTGCGTTTACAGCAGCGGCCAACATTGCTCTTTATAAGATGATTTTAGCCAAGAACAGTAGTATAGAGGAAGAAAATATTTGCTCACAACAAGCTATAAATATGAGGAGATACTGGCCAAAGTCATTACGAGAAAACGCCTTCGGATGTCATATATCTCTGTTGGATTTGAAATTTCCTACAAGGCGAAGTGATTTAACAGCTTTCTGGGAGTATACTCGTGGCATCCACAGCGTTTTGCACCATCACCTAACAGTGTCCCTGCGGCCTCTCAAGCTGCAGCCTATGAGCGAGAACCTGAGCATCATCATCCGCTACAATGCAGTCTTAGCTAAGTTAGGCTTGCCCACGGCGAATGATAACCATTACACTGTGACCAATATGGGTAACCTAAGCAGCACCTTCCCTGGGACCGGAGCAGAGGTGGAGGTATCCAAGGTGCTGCGCTCTGTCTCCTGCCACTTTATGCCCACACTCTGCCAACACACACTCCAAACCTTCCGTGGACGCCTCTGCTACTCTCTCGACTATTACACACAGAAAATGACGAGAGAAATTGCTTCCCAATACGCTGAGGAGATCCTCAGCGTCCTCACCTCGTCAATCCACACGCCCAACTGACCCTAACCAACTCCGCCCTACAACCCAAAGCAGCACATAAACACCTGCCAAAGAAGCTTCAATACCAAGCCGTCCATAAACTTGCATCACTAAGACATTCTCTCATTAACTCCCAATTACATCAACACGCTGCTCACCCACACGACACAGATAGGGCTCCTATATACCTCCTGCCATGTATGGCAGATAATGTACAAATCCCATATATGCATTTTGGACATAGACCAGTATTAAGTACGAGTCAAAATGCTTAAACACTGACTCCTGCTACATTATTTTAAGGCCACTAATGAATATCAGTTAAGATTGTTTTAAATAAGCTTAGAATAAATGTTAATCATGAGTATTCTCTTTAGAATTATCCCTCTATACAAGCCAAGAGTGAAAATGCGTGGTTTGAACCTGACCAGTGCCAGGCACAGCAGCTGGCATGACGAACTATTGGTTTGGTTTCAGACTGAATGGTACAGGAAACCTGTTAAAGTTCATTTTTTTTTTTATTAATACACGAGGTACATCTGCATTTGTGCAGCTACCCTAGACTATATGAAGTAGAGTGCAGTGTGTTAAAAAAGCTAACTACGTGATGCTAAAAAATCCCCATCACACAGGATGGTTAGTCATACAGAGACGTGTGATAGGCAGTCTGCACTGGCAGACTCCGGATGCATTTTGAGGATGTCAACACAAGAGTGAATAAGGCAGCAGTGGCAATAAAAGTCCCTGTTCAAGTTAGTGTGTTTATTGAGACACGAAAAAATAATACATCTCAAAGGGATAGAGTAGCTTCGGCTATTTCTACCCCTCAGGAAACCTGTTAGACTCCTTAAGAGAACTGTCCTTCCTCATGAGAGGAAGGACAGTTTTTCCCGTCTCACAACAGGTACCCGTTCTCTATTGTGTGAAGGAAATCATCGGCAACCCGTCTTCAAAGTTCATTCCATCCAGCGGGCGACCCCAAAGACGCCCTCATAAATTTTAACATGCTGTTTATTGAGAAAATATGTAGGATCCGTGATGGGGATTCGAACCTATGTGCTGAGTATTCCCAGGCACACGCCCCAGACTGTGTATCATGATGTTATTGCATATTGATAATACATGTATATTAATTAATTATTAATGCACATTAAGCATGTTAAAATTAATAAATATTTGCGTCTTTGGGGTCGACCGCTGGATGGAATGGATTTGATCTTAGGACGGGTTGTGAGAGTCGTGTATAAGCCTTTTTCATTTATAAACAGGGGGCTAGGCAGGTACATGGAAAGGACTTTGGCCTTTGTTTATGACGAGGAACCTTCAACGAGCTGGTCAATAGGGGAGGTGGAACAAAGTAATTATCAAAAGGCGCCAAGGAAAAAGAAGCCAACACAGTCGGCAGACTTGAACCCATCCGTGAATAGAACAGTGGTGAGTGAATGGCAGGTAAAATGGTCAAAAAGCAGTTTCTAATTTTTTTTTCCGTCACCCGTTTTGGTTTTGTAAACTTGTGCAAAGCAATCGACCCCAATTTTGTTAATGAAAATAGACATTTTACATTGTTAATATTTACTCAATGTGCCTTGTGCTCCATGCTTTGCTGCTAGATTCTCCATATTTGGCTTGATATTTGTGAGTGTCTTATTTCTCTTCGCACGCATATATCGGTTCTACTTCTTTGTCACCGTTTTATTGACTGCACTAAAACCACATTCAACAAAATATGAAGTTGCAGAACACGACAGTACTTGGCCATTTTGGACCACATGTTTGGATAGAGCTGCTTAGTTGTATTTGACAGCCACACTTCAGTCATTACAGCTCTTTAAAAGTTGTATGTCCATTCATCATTTAGTTAAATAGTGAAAACATCGATGAGGAATCTGACAGATTTTGTATCACAGCCAAAAGGATCCAGCATCTATACGGCTTAACTTCATAAAATAAAACAAAGTCGCCTATTCAACTTTTTCAATAATATGTATAATTTTTAAGATCTTCATCTGATGGATGTCCAATTATTTCAGTTCTCTGGGGCATGGTGTTGAAGTGCCTCTTTTTTTTCTAAACTGGTTCGAAAAAGACCTATTTTTCAGTAAGTTTTCAGAACACATTTACAATCTAGCAACGTGCGTAATTTGCTTTCAAGCTGAAATGAAACTTCATTCAGTTTAAGGAAATTCTAAGCCGTAAGTTAGATGTAATATTTGTGGCTCTAATTTTCTCTGCTAAATCAGACCACTCTACTTTCCAACAAACTGTGGCATTAAATAGCTTTACAAACATCGCTAGGCAGTTTCATTGTGTAAATACTTCATTCATAATGATGTGCTGCCCGAAATCTTAGCAAAGTATCCAAAATTTGCTTACTGTAGGTAATGCATGCACATGACTGTAAAGCTGCCGCCCAGTTAGGTGGGTGTGGAGCAAGACTAGTAACTGTGAGACTCATCACAGATGTAAAGTGCCTTATTTAGTGATTTGTGAGCCTCTTGTTGAATCGATTGTGACAAAAGATTATTGATGTGTGTATTTGTGTGGGTGATTAAATATGTATACGTATGTACATGTATGCATGTGTGTACATGTATATATAACATTAATAATTGTGTAACTAGCGTCAAAAGATTATTTGCTTCGCTAAATGAACTAGAGGGTTCAGTTCCTGAACCGATTATGTGCCTCTGTAATCCTTTACACCACCGCCTACGGAATGGGTATGGGGTGCATAATAAAGAAATTGAGTTTTGAAAGCCATCGACCTTCTGAATGTAAAATGTCATTTTTTTATTAGCATTATTATTATTAATAATAATAATAATAATAATAATTATTATTATTATTATTATTATTTATTATTATTATTATTGATATATACAAGAGTTCTTACATTCTTGTACAGCCACTAGAACGCGTAGCATCTTGGGCAAGTCCTCAATCCTATGGTTCCTGGAATAAGACCTCGCGAAGAATCGTTTAACAACCAGGTACTCATTTACTGTTGCGTTTAAACTGAGGCTACAGTTAAGGATTTGCGCCGAGTAAATCCTCCCTGGCCAGGATCCAAGCCCATATTCCGACACTCGCGGAAACACCAGGCGAGCATCTTGACCACTACACCACGGGGGGCTTGATATATACAATTGTTACAATGCGACTCTTCATTACAGCTACAAACCTTCCGAAAATGTGTCATATTTGTTGTGTGATTTAATTTTATTAACTGCTTTAATAACTATTGCCTACCTCCATCTCCATCCATCATTCATCAAGAACACCATCAGTTCCCATCATTCATGAAGAACTAGACTAATATTTTTGGTAACTAAATGATGGCGATGTATGGCACAATGCAATCGAAAGGGCATACATTTTTTCAAGTGAGCAATAAATCCACCATGGCTGAAGCGCCATCAATTGAGCAGGATTGTTTTCAAAGGGACCTTGTTTTTCTTCTTCAAACTAAGATTTCAAAGCCTCTAAATGAATAATCCTGTTGTCGGTTTTCAAAGATTTTAATTTCTTCACACATTGTATAGTCTTCATCTATAAAACGAAATGTCATAAAAGTAAGTCTACTATCACTAACCGTTGAATTAACAAATTTTAGCATTTTATTTGTTCAACTGGCTGGGTTTCTCCATCAGCTATTTCATAAATCATTCTGCCACTCTAATAATATCTCAATGGTAACGTGTTTAAAACGCTTGAATCTTGATGTAAAGCAGTTTCATACGAATTTCAAAGGCAGGCCGTACAATATTTTCAACAACTGTATTTGCTCTAACATTGTTATTTGTGCAATTTCATAAGACAGAATTCCATTTGTTTGTGTACTTTCTAAATAAAGAAGGAACAGTTTTCCGTTGCTAAAAATGTGTGATTTTTTTTTTAAATAATCAATGGGATTGTCCATTTTATCAGGATGCTTTCTTTCTTCAATGCTCTACATGTCTTGATGGTTCCATAGCATCATTTGAAAATGAGCTGCAACACAAGACACACAGGCTGTTTTGGATCAAATGAACTTTCAAAAAGCCATAAGATGACAAATGCTCCTTGTATTTTTCATACTACTGTGTATGAAAATATAATGTACAAGTAATTCTTTGTTCATTAACATGGTTCATTCAGTTATCACACCACCATTATCACATCAGTACCATTAAACTTCAGATTATCACCCCGAGAATTAAGCAACACCTGAACGCCCCGCCAGACAGACGCTATATAGGCATCGTATACAAAACATGTTTAAATGATGTCAAACTGAAGAAAGGACATGAACTTGGAATAAGTAGGTTAAAATGCTAATATTGATATTGACTTGTGTTGATATTTTAATTTACAAATAATGTTTATAGAAAAAATAAAAAATAAAAGCCATTTGTACAAGACAATAAGCCATCACCTCCGGTGAGAATGACTGATGTAAAACACCATGACGGCGAAAGGTTGAGGGCAAAGTGGATATGCAGCCATAGTCAACTTTAGACAAACACAAAGCGGAAGGGCAAATATAGGATCGTGTGCCTGTTTACCACCCAAAAAGTACGGGGGGGTGGGGGGCAAAACTACGTAAGGAATGAGCCTTGGAGCATTCAAGCCGCCCAAGACAAGCAGGTATCAAGGTTCAACCCTTACAGCTTAGCATAATCTATACATTTACAAAGGAATATCAAAATTGAGACAAGGATGGATAGGAATTAGCTTTCGAGTAAAAGTCTTAGCGTAACTCTTGGTAGCATACAACTTGAAGTCACGGCAGGTAATAGTCCCAGGATGACACGCTATCGATTGCAAGTTGAAGCTGATCTTTTATGAAGGAATCGTCACTGCAACAGCAATGAACACGACTGTCCACATAATGCATGGAGGGCAACTGTCAAGTGTACCAGTGGACGCAGCGCCGAGCCACAACGCAAGGTGTCCAGGTGCAACGAGTGAGGAAACTCTGAAGAAAAAAATGTGATCGCTACGAAAGGCAGAAAAATGCACTTTGGCTAAAAAATTAAGAATATAAGAACATAAGATTAAAGGTAATTACAGAAGGCCTATCGGCCCATACGAGGAAGCTCCTATTTATAACCACCCTTGCAATCCCATAAGTCTACATGTCCAACCCACGTTTGAAACAATCACGAGACCCCCTCATCACCACGTTACGCGGTAATTGGTTCCACAAATCAAATTACCGAACCAGTATTTACCGAGGTTTTTCATAAATCTAAACTTGATCAATTTTTACCCCATTGTTTCGTGTTCTGTCTAGTGTTGATATCTTCAACACCCTACCAATATCCCCCTTGTTATGCCCATTCATCCACTTGTACACCTCTATCATGTCACCCCTAATTCTTCA